TCCGCACGTGTAACGACGGCACGTGACTCGGCCGCAGCACGCCCCAAGTTGCGTAGAGGGCGAAGTCCCGCCCTACGCTGCTTGCAGCTTTAATTAACCATTTGTTTTTAATTTGTAATATATTATAGGCACAATATAGTTTATTTTGGCTATAGATTTAGTTTATATATTTAATATTTGTATTAATAATGCTTAAAACTGTAATTAATGGGTGAATTTGTTATTTATTTGTTCTGTTATTATTTATACTATATTTGATGCACAATATAGTTTATTTTAGCTTGTAATAATCCATTCCAATTATTTATTTTATTTATTTTAAGTGGAGGCTCAGGTCAGATGATTTTATTCTGAAAATAAAGCAGAACGTTGAGAGAAATCTCTCCCGCCAAGTCGTCTGTAAGGTTCGTCCTATTTACTGGAGCAGTGAACAACGTTTCCATTGCTTTAGAACATTATGGGATGGCATTATTCCAGGTATTAGTCAGACTCTCAGGTGTTACCATGGAAATGGTGTTGCATAATGCTCCTGCTCAGGTGGAGCTGACCTGTTCTGTGTGTGATGTCATCGTTCAGGTGAGCGAGCGTTTCGCTCAGTACATCGATCAGATGATCCAGGCCAGCGGGGTGGCGTGCGGCAGCGTGGAGACTCTGGAGCGACTGCAGCAGTTTCTGGAGCCGATGCTCTTTCTGTCTGGCCTGGAGCTCGCGAACACCTTTGAACACTTCTACAGGTGAGAACGCCACAAAGCTGCCGCCGCTGACACCCAGACCGTCCCTCTCTGCAGGCTCTGAACGTCTCTCTCTCTCTCTCTGCAGGTACTACCTGGGCGACCGGCTGCTGGCTCAGGGGAACGTGTGGTTGGAGACTGCCGTGATCGATCAGATTGGCAGCTGCTTCCCGAGTCGCTTCCCTCAGCAGATGTTAAAGAACCTGAGCGAGTCGACCGAGCTGCAGCAGGAGTTTCACCTGTACCGCCTGCAGCAGCTGGACCGCTGCCTGCAGGAGCACGACCAGGTCCGCAATAACCCTCCAGACCAGGTTTAAACCCAGTGTCTGATTCTAGGACGCAGGGAGAGTGCTGAGAACAGAAGGAGAAATGGAAGGATAGCTTTAAATCTTTAACCTGAAGCTTTAAAGGTTTGAGTTTGATGCAGTTTGTCCTTTGGTTGTTGCTGTAGATGATGGAGGAGGAGTGGGCGGAGTCAGAGGAGGAGGCGGAGGTTCAGGTTCTGGTTCTGTCTCCGCGCTGCTGGGCCGTCTCCTCGCTCTGCTTCCTGGACGAACCTACCAAACATTTTCCAGCTGAACTGTGCTCCTACCTGAACCAGTTCACCCAGTTCTACACACACAGTGAGTAACGTTAGCTCTCTGAGCGGAGGGAACTACAAATATCTCCCGTTGCAAAGTTGTATCTAAGGTTCGTCCTATTTACTGTAGCAGTGAATGTTTTCACTGCATTAGAACATTATTGGATGGTAATTGTTTCTCCAGGTATTAGTCAGACCCTCAGGTGTTACCAAGGAAACGGAGTTATGGTTTGAAAAACAGTAATCAGGCAGTAATTCACACCTTGTCGGCCATTATCCCTTAGAGCAGCTGGATAAAGTGGGGTTGGGGGTTGTTTCCTTTTTAACCATTAGTCAACGTGTGTCTGTCTGTGTGTCCGTCCACCAGGTCAGTACATGTACGGTCTCAGTCACTCGAAGCCTCGCCGGCTGCAGTGGACGTGGCTCGGTCACGCTGAGCTGCAGTTCGGCTGTTGGACGCTTCATGTGTCGACACTGCAGATGTTCATCCTGCTGCAGTTCAACAGCCACGAGGTAACACACACGCCCAAAATACACACATTTTACTGATTTCATGTGAATAAACGGATCATAATGATGCTGAAATAACCTGATAAAGAAATAATCATGATAAAGATTTGTAAAAAGTCTGAATTCATACGAACAACTTTTAAAACACTTGTTTTTCTGAGTGGAGTTTGGTTGATCGGGACTACGCTAACTTCACTGACAGTTACCGCTGATGCATTCACTGACAGTCTGCTCTCTGTG